ATTTATCTCTTCAGACGCGTATTCAGATTCAGAGGTCTTAATCTTAATGAAAACAAATGAGGCATTAATGGTTGAGGGTTTCAAAACTCACCTTGAGGTTCCAAGTCCAAATCTTAGTTATTACTTTTTCTTTTCGAACTCTCTTAATGGAAATCCTGGATCCGCCAGTGCATAGGCCACCATTCTTGTCACATGACGGTAACATAGAAGGAACTCATAGTCAAAAGCGGGTCAAATATAAATCAAACTTATATTATTTAGGATAAATTACCTAACTACATAATCTTTCTTTCCATATTTTCTAAAATTCCCTACCATTTCAAAATATTTCAAAAATCCCTATTTTCCTCTTTTTCTTTCCTTTTTCGGATACATTATTCACATCCCTTTCAATCCAACGATTTTGTTCCTATTTCCATGCCTAAAATCACTCCCATATATCAGCAGTTACATCAATCACTCAATTTTTTAATTTCAAATATGTTCTCTTGCAAGTTCATCAATTTCAAGTTCCTAAAGAGGTAGAACTATTTCTTCATCAATTTTTTTATTCCTAGTTCTTCAGATGTCGTTTTTTTTAAAAAAAAATTAATGTTTTCATTTACAATTTTCTGATACATATGAATTCTGCTCCCTCTTTTTAGTATGGTACCTTGTGTATTTGATGTTGATGATGAAAACTTTCATGAAAATAGTTCTAATCAACTCATTATGATTCCGACGATGATGATTGGGTTGAAAATAGATTCAAAAGGTTGTAGGATCCATTAACAATGGCGAATCATAATATTTAGAAGACGAAGTCGAAGAAGGATAAAACTTCATCTTTTAAGGCGAATGTGGAAGAACCCCAAAGAAGGATAGAAACGTTGCATCTGCTATGTGGTGTGTTATCTTTGAAGAAAATGATCTAGGATTAACAAGCTTAGGAGGTTGGTTTCTGGATAAATGGTTACTTCGTCAATATAGAATAGTCATTATGTATTTGTGGACACATCCATTTGAATGTTTTACTATTTTTAAGATACATTAAATTAAGTTTTAGAATATTTCTCTAAAAATTTGGTTATTTTGAATTCAAATTTCAATATATATTGTTTTTTTAATCTCAGTATGTATATTTTTCTTGATTTTTTTTGTTGTAATTATAGTGCTTGTGGTACACAATACAAAATAGGATACTTTTAACAATTATGTGATACAAATAAGCTTTATAAATTTAAGTATCACACAATTTTATCATTCAAGAGGTTGTTTATTAAGTTATTGATACACTTGATATCTAACCACGACAGTCGTTCACAATCATGATGTATCAAACACATTATTATCAAAAAAAAAAAAACATACATTATATAAATATTGTACTAGATTTACAAAATTTAATAGTTTAACAGTGTGATTAAATCATTATCAAGAAGAAATGTACACAAAGTTGAACATTTTTTTATTTATTAATAGTAACACTTCATCATATTGGAACTTGAATGTATTTTTCTAAAAAGAAATGTATCACTTCTCTTTAGGTAAGAAAGTACAAGATCCCGTGTTGTGACTTTCATGTCTATAACGTCTACAACAATTTGTGCTCGTAGTTGGCTTATCACTAGAGTTTTTTTTCTTTCTTTTCATGATCATCCAGGCATCCTTTTGTATCGAGGTGGCAAGACAATTTCCTTATCTGGTAATGGAATCATTGAATCTATCACAATTGATTATTTATCTTTCTAGGCAAACAATGTATCTTTTTCTAGAATCATAGTCTGAATAAAGATACTCAAATGAAACAACCTCATGTCAACATTAAAAAAAATTAGTGATACATTACATAAAATATGTATTTCTATGTAGGGAGAAGGGTCTGAAAAGTATCCCAACTTTGGTCGAATTTGTTGTTGCGATACTAAACTTTCATGAGGACCTATTACCTCCCTAGACTATTTAATACCGTATTTTAAACATATATATTTGTCCACGTGGACATAAAAAATAATGCAAAATTATAAATAGTAATGTGTCCACGTGGGCACATATATACCTTTAAAATACACTATTAAATAGTTCAGGGGGTAAAAAATACGGTATTAAATAGTCTAGGGAGGTAATAGGTCCTCATGAAAGTTTAGTATCGCAACAACAAATTCGACCAAAGTTGGGGTATTTTTCAAACTCTTATCCCTTTTATGTATCAATCACAAACAATCACACAACTAACATATACTTAATATCATATACAAAATATAAATATAAGTTGATACATACCCTCATTCGCGAACATTTTGATGTGTTTACAACAAATTACATGTATAATGTATCATCTACAAAATATAGTTTTTCACAAACACAATAAGATACATAAATAGTAATGTATCATGATGTTTTATATCAACAACACACTGACTCACAGCTCTAAAAAGTCATTACATATACGTCAAACTAGTGATGTATCAAGTTGTGACCATTAATGTATCATGACTTATATATCCATATACAAATTCAACATCAAAAGATACTTATTAAAGCACAAATAAAAAATAAAAAAATAAATTCACATGTATCTGATACTTCATATTATCAGCACACTAACTCAGAGATCTAAAAACACAATACATATACGTCAAACTAGTTATGTATTAGTTTGTAATCAATAATGTATAACGAATTATATATCAATGTACAAATTCAGAAATAAAAAGATAAAAGGGATACATAACAAATCCATATAATTGGGGATGCATATCTGTAACATTCTTGCTCTTAGGTATGTATTAATATATCTAATACATATTCACTGCAATATAGTAATCAAAGCAGTGGGGATGCACTTCTGTGATATTCTTGCTCTTCAAAATAGCAATTGCGTGTGCACAAGATATTTCGTCTAGTTGAAATCTCCCACAATTACATATTTCTCACTCAAGGCTAAATAATGTATCTTCTTCCAAATTCATAAACTAAAAGAATAAATTTAGATGATGCAACAACCTGCAAACATTAAATAAGTCAATGATACATTAAATGCAATATCTTTTTTGGTGTTTTTAAATCAAGACTGATCAAAGTTTTCTAACTATTCAAGCATTGAGAAACATGAAAAGATAGAAAAGAACCTGCTTGAGTTCTGGTCGAGGCGAATTGGACATAGCAAAGAACTTGGTGGTATCTCCACCAGTAAGACGTCCATCTCCATCTACATCTGTACCAAATTAACAACCCAATCATTCAAAAAACTCTTCTTTTTTGCTCTTATTTGAACAACTAAAAAAATTGCCAGATTCAGCAAATTTGAACCATTATTGATAAATCTTCTCGTGTTTTTTTGAACATCAGCTAATGGGGCTTGATGAATCGCCGAATGTATCATCAATGTATCTCTCCAGCCATCTTGTCTATTGTATCAATGATAGATTTGAGATTCAATTCAGTTGTAATGGCTGATTTGAGATTCACAAAAGAAATTGTTTGCCTAACAATTATTTCATCACTATTATATCGTTCATAACTCAGATCGATCACCCAAATTCCTGAAAATTTCAACAAAAATCGATATATTCATCATGTATTTTGGATCTGTTATGATTTGGGATAGATGGAGGAGAAGAAGATTTGAATTTTGAATTCTCTGAATCTGTTACGAATTGGAATAATTAATATCAATCTGTTTTGCGTGATTCGTGAGATTGACAATTAATTTTACATTTAGTTCCTTTTTAAGCACAACAGTTAAGTTATTTTATGTATCATAATTTATGTATCCGACTGAATATAATGTATCTACAATTTTTAAGAAATTTTGTAAAATAGAAAAAAGTAAGAATATAATGTAATTTAGGTTTTACACTGTGAAATTTATGTAAGTTATTTTTTCATAAAATATGATAACTAGGATATACCTCTATGGCACTCTTTTAAAATATATGTAAGACGTAAGAAACTCTAAAAAGTACCATATTAATATGTTTGGTAGAAGAAGTGTGTAACTTTACATTAATTGAATAGAGGGTAGTAAAATATTACAATAATATGTTTCTAATTTATTTTGTGAGTCAACTCAAATTCCAATTCAATTTGTGAGATATTATTAGAATCTCAAATTCAAATGAATTTTTTGCAAGATATCTTTTCATATGTATTCGAAGTTTTCTTAAATTATGTTAATTTTTTGAATCTAATTTTTGAATATTTATATTTTATTTCTAAAGATTCAAATAATCTAAATTATAAAAATTAATTCTCGAAATTCGAAAAGTTTCATGTAAATTAATTGACGTAGAGGGAGTAACGTGATTGTGCGAGATGTTTTATACTAGCATAGCTTACGCATGAATAAATCAGAGCACTTCACAGTCACTGTACCGTGCTTATTAAATTTCCTCCATCACAAAGCCTTAAGCCCTTCCGGTATATTAACCCGCTGCTAGTCACTCCGGCGATCGTTTCACCGGCGAAAAATCTGCGGTAAGTTCTCCGATTAACTGGATTTTTTCTCTATTTATTTCCTAAAACTAAGCCCATATCCAATTTATTTTCTTATGGGTCTGTACTTTCTTGTCCCCTTCGTGAGGTGGAAGCTTTAATTTGGTGTTAAAATTAGATACTACTCCATAAGAAGCTGAAAATACAGCTCTTTTCCTGTGTTATTAGCAAGGGAAATGCGTGAGATAGTTTTTTTTTGTGTTGTAATACTTGTCAATAACACTAATTTGGGTATTGCTTTACAATTTTAATTTATTTTTATTTTCCTCTAAATATTTTCTTTTGCTTAGCTTATATGCAGAAGAATTGCTTGTCTGTTTGACGAATGTCTTTCTGCTTTAGCTTTTACTCTGATGCTTTTCTGAATATCTACTATTATGTTTTTTCAATTTTCTGATAACAACTAGTTTTGATACAATTATAAATATATACTGAAATCTGTGATCTTATTTTAAAATTTTAGTAACTAGGTTAAATTTAATTGGTTCAATCGATTATAGAATTATTTTGACACCACTATCTAGGAGTGTTTATACATTATTTTTGAAGATATTCCAGAGATGAAACGCTGGGCCATGGCATAGTTTATTGGAAGATCACATCCAAACGAAAATTAGAATTGGCAGAGAGAAGACATGGCTGATTTCGTGACATCTACTCATAAAACCAAGTGGATTTTTACTCCCCAAGATATTGTGAGTTACAATTGTTCATCAAAAATCTTGGAGAATATCATTTTTTTTTCATTTTCCCATTTTTATTTGAATTTTTGGGTTTATGAATGGTTTACTGTATTCGCAGAAACACAAGTATAAAGTTGCTAATCACAGAGTGAAACAAGCACTAGAGAAGGTATGCTAGCTCATTTTCTTAATATTTTTTTGTTTAATTTGCTTGTTCATTTTCTGTGTGATATTTTTTCTTTTGTTGAGATACCCTTTTCACCTAATTAGTTTTTGTTTTGATGAAGGCAATATGATTGTGTTCTTTGACCTTTTGCTGTTGTAGTTAGTGTTTATCTTTAAGACGTGGTTCATGCACATGCATATTGAGATGTCCAAAACACATGGTTTGTATTCTGTAACTTGCTTAATCAATATGAACAAGGCAACATGAATAACAAATATGGTATAGACATGAAACAGTAAGTTAAGTGAATAGAATGAACCTGAGTTCTGATTCTGATAGCTAGCAGTGTCATCGGGTAAGCTTGATCTCATTGATATTATTCAGAACAATGAAATCATAGAGCTTCAGAGCTTAAGAACACAAAGAAAGAGTATAATGCTGGTAAAATGAGTAAAACATGGATGGTTTACAACGAGTAGATGTAAGACTTTTCATAGCTAAACCTTAGAGAGCAACTTCTATGGTTCCCGCCCTCATAAAGTTCACTAATTGCACGTTTACTTCAGTTATGTAATGGCTGACGGAGATCTTGGGCTCTTTCCCCATCGACTAGCGTAGATTGAGCCAGCTCTTTCCACAACAGCTGGCAGAGATCTCAGACTCTTCGGCAACACAACGGCTGGACCCCTGAACTTATTTTGACCTTATCTTGTTAGGTCACAACCTGGTGCCCGGTCCCGTATTTTTGGAGCTAGATGGCTTTGCCGCTAGGACTCTGGCTCCGATTGTCTTGACTCTGGATTTTTCATTGATAGGATTACCTTTACTGGTCACGTTCTGAGGATAGCATTTGGTGTTGTCCCTGCTGAGTCACTCTTGACCTACTCTTCTTTCCACGTGTCGTTTTTGATTGGCCCAAGTCTTAAGTCCGATTCTTGCCCCATAGAGTTAGACAGAGTAGAATTTCTTGTCCATTTTATGTGTTTGGTGTATGAAATTCTGTATGCCGGCATTATGTTTTTTTCAAACAATTATGTTACCTTTCTCTCTGCTTCAACGATTTGCCTAATTTTTTAGGCAGCATTACCTGAAACTTTATGGCCCAGAACATAGGTCTGATTTATAGTGCTTGTGGGTGTACTAATAATACTGATAGCTAATTCTGTTGTGAAGTATGGAACAACGCGAATGGAAGTTGATATTGATGGGTCGTTCTCGTATGCTGAAATTCAAAATGACGCAAAAGATAGTGGTAAGATTGTATATTTTCAGACCAAAGTAAAACTAGAGACTATAAAGTTTCTTGTTTGCCTTCCTTTAATCTTGGAAGATAATCATAATTCTTATCATTCTTTTGGTTGCTATTTTGGTTGGCATGTTAGCTGAAAAGCGTCCTAAACCACTCAAGGTTGAAGAAGAACAACTTCTAAGGGCTTTCTACGAGTTCAAAATTCAAGACGTCTGTGATGCCTTTAAGTTCCCACGTAAGATTCAGGTATAAAGTTTTGAGTATTGGATCTGCTACTATAATGGATCAACTAGATGGTTAAACAGTTCTCATGCTTGTTTGTAGGCGACAGCTCTCATTTATTTTAAGAGGTTTTATCTACAATGGTCCGTGATGGAACATCACCCTAAAGACATTATGTAAGCTTCTTATCTATCTTCTCTGTGCTTTCTTATTAAAAAAATTTACTAGGCTCCCCCTATCTTTATGTAGTGTTTGGTTGGACATTATTGGACAATAGTTACTTTTTCCAAATTCAAGTTGAAGTGCATTTTAAAAACATAAACAAAGTCATCTGGATTCCACATATATGATGCATACAGTAGTTGATAGTTGACAGAGACAAAGCTTACTAGCTCCCCCTCCCCTCTTTTTGTAGGTTAACCTGCATATATGCAGCTTGCAAGGCAGAGGAAAACCATGTATCAGCTGAGGAGCTTGGGAAGGGTATTGGACAGGATCATCATGTAATCCTCAACAATGAGATGCTGGTTTTCCAGGCATGGATTTTATTTGATGGTCATGTCATTCTACAATTTCCTTCAAATCTTTGCTTAATCAACTTTTTTCTAACCTTTATTTTGCAGAGTCTAGGATTTGATCTAATTGTTTATGCTCCATATCGTGCTCTTGAAGGTTTTATCAGTGATTTAGAGGTCTTTTTCTGTTGATCTGTTACACTTAAACCCTTTGAGTAATAATTTTTGTGTTGACGTCTTCCTTTTAATTGGTAGTTATTTCCACTCCTTGTACTGCTTCATTTCTTCATTGCAATTATTGACTATTGCTCTTGAAATTGTAGGAGTTCTGTGGAGCTAAAGATGAAGACCAGCTTGTGGCACTGAAGGTAGTTGCAATTTTTTTAAACAGGTTAAGTAGTTCAAGTGAAAAGCTCTCCCCGCTTACCTTGAGGTTGAGAAATCAAGTTACGAAGGGAGTAAATGGAGGAAAAGGACCACAATTGACTCCTGGGAGGAGGTTGGGTTGGGTTACTGGTTAGTAGTGGGGTAATGTAGGTTAACATATAAAAACAATTTGTTATTTGCTTTTCCATGCAAATTGCCTCATGCAGAAATGCAGGGTAAGGCTGCATAGATTAGACTCTTGTGGTCCGGCCCGGCCCTTCCCTTGACCTCACACGTAGCGAGAGCTTTAGTGCACCGGGATACTTTTTATTCAATTTTCTTTTATCAAATAAAATGTTCTTCCACTATTTCTGCTCCTTGTAAATTTTGGCTTCTGACAATTGAATTTCATCCAATGTCGCCCAATAACTAGTAGTTTTGCAGTTAAACCACCCAAACCATGTGAATGTTGTATGCGATATTGAAAATCTTCAGTTCTCCACCCAATGGAACTAATGCTGATTTCACTCTTCCCATTTCTATTGTTTGTAGTTCTTCCTTAGATAATCAAGGTTAATGCATCTTCTTGCTAGATTATCATCAATCTTCTTTCAAACATAACAAAGTTGGTGGCATGTTGGAGATATGGTGATTATTATAATTCAATTTATTCTTAGAATTTCAAATCATAGATCTCTATGTAGCTCATTGAGCTACCCACCAACTAATCTTTCTTTTATACTTCAATTTATTTGTTCAAAACATTTCAGTGTACACAACATGGGACAAGAAGAAGGAATAAACTTCCCTCATAAGTAGTTGGTAACATTCTGACATGCATCGATATATTACTAACTGTAATTCATCTACTGTAGATGATGAATTAATTTTGTTATTCCTTAGTGAGTTCAATTTATATTACTCTAACCTTTGTAGTCGTCTACCAGCTAAGTTTATTTTCTTCTGAAGTACAGGGTTCACTTGATACTGCTAGGATTGAAGCAGATAAGATTATGCGTTCTGATGGACCACTTCTATTCCCACCTGGGCAGGTTATATTTTATCATTTATATACTATATTGAAATGATTTTATACTGTACGAATCTAATTACTGGCTCTTCCTATCTGCAGAGAATTATATTAACTGATAAATACATCTTTGAGGCTTGCTTCATCTTGTTGAAAGAAAAGTTTCATGTTCCACTCAGTCATAAACTTTTGAACTAGTTTGTTCCCTATCCATATTTTTTGATTTCATGTGAAGTGTGGATACGGAGAATGGATCCTCTGTTAACAACAACAACATACTCGGTGTAATTCCACAAATGGGGTTTGGGGACGGTGGAATGTATGCGGCACGCCTTTGTGGGGTGGAGAGGCTGTTTCAGAATAAATCATCTGTTATTGACAGATAATTTTCCTGGTATGGTTAGACCAGATCAAATCTAGCTTGTCTGACATTTTAAAAGAAGCAATTCTAGCTATAATTTCCCATAAGCTCCTCATAACTAGCCCTGACAATTAACTATGACTATCCCTAGTTTCTCCCGACTATCTCTGGCAACTAACCAAGGCTATACTTTTTGTCTGATGATTGATTGAAATTTTTTGGAGAGGAGGCTTTCCCATAGGCTCTTCTATATTTCCGAGGTTGTGGTTAGATTCTAGAGGAGCTCTTCTATATTTTGGCCACATTTTGCCCATAGGAGTCATATTTATCAGAGGACAAATCATGTGATGTTACTAGATGATAGCTGTTCTGACAGAGGACAAGACTGCATTATGGATAAAATTGAAATGCATAAGAAGGAACTTTTTCTGATGATCAATGAATGGTAACATAGTTGACATCTGATAAATTCATCTGATGACCTTGTTGGATACCTCAGTGAAGCAAAACTCCTGCTTTTGCGTTCTATGTGATTTGCTCTTTTAAAATGTGCTACTGATAATACTCACATGCACATCTTCTTAGATAATTTTCTGATTTAAGTTTCTTTTTCCTTATTTCAGTTGGCATTGACAGCTTTGCATAGAGCTAACGCAGCGCATAGCATATTTGATTTTGAGAGGTCCCAGTCCCTTTCTCGTTTGGACAGAATCCACAATTATCACTAACATTCTGATTGACATGATAATGATTCTTTAAACAGGTACCTAAGAAGTGTCCTATCACATTATCAGCCAGCTCATGCCATTTCAGAACTTACTGGTTCTATAAATGCCATTGATTCTTTGGCAAGTACTTAACCTTGTTATTACTGCATGCCTGGAATGGTTTATCTTTCTCATCCTACTGACTTCTTCCCCGAAATCTTCATTTGGGTTTAACATAGTCCTCTTACTGCCTGAACTCCTGGCATTTGAACAGGTTGGCAAACTTTTGACTCCGACTTCCAAAGATGTGAAGCACGTTGATCGGAAACTCAAATCATGTCTTGATCCGGGTTCACATGACAAGTGCGTTCAATCAACTCTGATTTGATTATCATTTTTCCATCTTTTGGTTTTTGCGATAATTTATTGGCCCAGCCAAAAAATGATACTGGTTTGTAAATGCAGGAGTAAAAAAAGGAAGCATAGGTCCAAAGATGGCTCACATGAGGCTACAGACATATCTTGAACTGCTCTAACTCAAGTTTGTAGCTTCAAAGCATATCTTATTTGGCCAGTGGAAATAGTGTTTCTCATTGCTGCTCATCAGTTTCCTAATATAGAACAAAAATTCAAGCTAGACTGGAATACATTGTCTACAACATCTGCATCAGGTTGAGAGTAGAAGTAGAGGCGGGTAGAGGATGTAAGATCACAAATTTCTCAAGACTCTTTTTTTTCTTAAATTTTGTACTATGAAATCAATTAGTGTCAAATTAGTTGGGACGACGGCAATAGTAGTTTAAACAAGAGATGTTTTTCTTAAATTCCGTATTTCAGAACTTTCATGAGACTCTTTCTCCTTTATTTTTCAAAACAAAAGCTGCAGAAAGAAAAAGGGTCAAATTAAGTGGTATTATCAAGCTTGTTTAAATTTGTAATTTATTATAACTTCAGACACACGAGTATGAAATTCACATGTCTAAAGTTATGTATCTTATATATATATATATATATATATATGAATATGAATAATTGGATGACTAAATTCTACAATTTACTAGCGTCATGACTCATAATGAATGATATATAACTTCACTTTTATTATTTTTATAATTTTAGATTAGGTTCAAGAGTGTCAAATTTAAGTAATTTAACTCATTCTAGAAGTTGCATATTGTGGAAATGAGGATATTGAGATGGATGTGTAGTCATACTAGGAGAGATAAGATTAAAAATAAGAATACTCAGAACAAAGTGGGAGTGGCCTCCGTGGTGGACAAGTTGAGGAAAGCGTGACTGGGATAGTTTGGACATGTGAAGAGGAGATGCGTAGATGCACCATTGAGGAGGTGCAAGAGGTTGGTAATAGAGGGTACAAGGAGAGACAGAGGTAGGCCAAAAAAGTACTGGGGAGAGGTAATGAGACATGATATGATGGAGCTTCAGATTAACGAGGACATGGTCTTAGATAGAAAGGTGTGGAGGACACGTATTAGGGTAGAAGGTTAGTAGGTAGTATAGTGTAGGCCATTGTACTAGTTGTATTATTGTAGCTTTTGTTTTTTTATATTTATTAGTGGTTTGTCGGGTACTAGTTGTATTATTTATTATTGTTTTCAATATCTATTTATTATTGTTTTCAATCATCTATCTTAGTATGTTGTTGATTGCCTCCTTCTTCATTGTGCCTCGATTTGCTATACTTGAGTCTGTTGGGTTCTGAAGGGTAATTAGGGTGTCATGCGAAAGCTTACAATTTGCAAATCATATAGTTGATAAATCAGATAACAAAAAACTTATACTAAAAATCAAAATATATTATATCAAAACTAATATAAAGAAAAACATTGAAACTTTAGAGAGAATAAATCTCTCCATAAACAAGACTCTTAAATGACTACATTATGAATGTTATTGTTATTGTGTTAGAAGAAACAAACCTATATTTATAGAGTTCTAAAACATTTTCTTATTAGAAAATGACTAGCTACTCCAAAACTTTTTTTCTAAAAGGAAAGAATAAACCAAATATGAAAGAATATTATATTTTACTTTCAGAAAAAATTAAAACATTTATGGTAATACTTTGACTTTATTTTAGGAAAAAATAAATTTCAAATAAGGTAAGAAAATCAGGGCAAAAACCCTAACAAATCTCCCCTTTTGGTTGGATTTTCTTGACAAAACTTGATCCATCTTCTTCACACAATCTTCATTTATCACTGCTGCTTACCATGATTTAAAAATTGATATGGGTTAAAAATTGTAGCCATGTGTTAAAAGTTATGATCAGGGTTGAAGTGGAGCTCATGCATTAAAAGTAATATATATAAGTTGAAAGTGGAGCTCATGCGTTAAAAGTAAGATGCATGAGTTAAAAGTGGAGCTTATGCATTAAAAATAAGATGCATGAGCTAAAAGTGGAGCCCGAGCATTAAAAATTTGCTGGGGTTGAAAATTGATTTTGTTCTTAAGGATATAGTAGCAGGATTGTCAAAATATAGTTGAAAATTTCCCCACATGTAGTAACATAAAAATCTTCATTATCATCAAAGTTATTACAAATTGATTTGAAACCACTTGAACCTTTCTTCAATCTTGTTGAACCAATATTGGATCATTGGACCATGTGCTCTGATACCACTTGTTGGGTTATGAAGGGTAATTAGGGCATCATGCGGAAGCTTACAATTTGCAAATCATATAGTTGATAAATCAGATAACAAAAAACTTATACTAAAAATCAAAATATTATTATATCAAAACTAATATAAAGAAAAACATTGAAACTTTAGAGAGATTAAATCTCCTCATAAACAAGACTCTTAAACGACTACATTGTGGATGTTATTGTTATTGTGTTAGAAGAAACAAACCTATATTTATAGAGTCCTAAAACCTTTTCTTACTAGAAAATGACTAGTTACTTCAAAACTTTTTCCTAAAAGAAAAGAATAAATCAAATATGAAAGAATACTATATTTTACTTTCAGAAAAAGTTAAAGTATCTATGATAATACTTTGACTTTACTTTTAGGAAAAAATAAACTTCAAATAAGGTAAGAAAATTGGGGCAAAACCCTAACAGAGTCGAGGGTTTTTTATAAAATAAATTTTTCTATCTTAACGATCCACAAAATAGTAATTTATGGACATTCTTCCTATCACAGACCTCACTTATACGACTTCACTCGATATATTAATGTTGGTGTAACCCATTAGGTACAACCTAATTGATTTGTTCAAAATCTAACAAATAATTAGGTGAGTGATATATGCACTAACAATAATATTAGGTTCCCATCCGTTCCATTATTTTTTAGCAACCACACAATTGGAAAGGAATAAATACACAGAGATGCACCTATATGGGTTGTGGTGCAGTGGTTGGACTGTTTCATCCTCAATCAGAGATCTCGGTTCGAGTCTTTGGTATGGAAAAAATCATGTTGAAAGCGCCACTCACAAATGAACCCTGCAGTACACAATCCAAATTTAGTCGAAACTTCAATATAAACTCTAATACAGAAAAAAAAAAATACACAAAGATGCAAAATATAAGATCTCGAAAGTGAGATATTTCTTTACGAAATGTGTGAATTATAATAGGAAGTTGACAAGAGGAAAATAAAGTAGTATGTGCTTCTAGTATATGATATGATGTGGTGTACTATTTGATGGCTGCCCTACCATTATTGAGATGTCTTTTTTTGTGCTTATTGTCATGTTAATATCGAAAGTGTAATTTCGATCATCTTCTTAAGGATGCCAATGATGGATTTATTCAAGTGGAGAAATTTTAGTTTGAATCTTCCGTAATTATTTTATGATGCTTTGATAGTTTTGATTGATTGACTGACAAATTTTAGTCTTATAATGATAAAAAATTGTCGATATTGGGACCAAAAGCATGAAAAATTAAGTGTTTTTTATCATAATTTTTTTTCATAACATAAGTATTTGTCAATATTTTGGAAAAATATCTTGGCCTAGCAGAAATAATTAGAGGATTTGATTGATCTATTTTAGAAAATTGTTCGAATATGTCCTGAATTATCAAATTTATTTAGATTTTATTAAAATTATGTTCTTTATTAAAAAAAGATTTTTTTTGGTGGAAAATATTTTGTTGGTGAAAAAATTTGAATTTCTATGAATAGAAATATTTTCTTCTCTTGAAACATAATAGCATCCACATGACTATAGTTGTTAGCGTTTTGCTTAGGGTGATTATTCTTTCTATAATTTTAATATATTTTAATTATATATATATATATATATATATAAGTCAAACTATTATCAAAATAATCTGACTATATTCTTTTAATAGAATTTTTTATCGTATAATTTATTGTTGTCAAAATTTGTACTTCATCCGTTTCATATTAGTTGTTCACCTTACTAAATCGAGAAAGTATTAATTGAATTTTTTCTATATTACCCTTGCAATTAATTCTTTTTTAAAGTATTCGTATTTGTTTGTAAGGTTTTCCAAGAAATTTTTTAAGAAGCTAATTAGTAAAATTACCTTCTTATTTATGATTTCTTAAACACCATGTAAAATAAAAAGAAATCAACTAATATGAAACAACGGAGAATGTAATAGTTAGCTTTTGTATCACTCATTAGTAAAAATAATCCCAATAAATACTACTAAAGCCAACGATTTGATAAAACTGAATACAAATTTAAAAAAAGATTCAAATAAAGCTTAAATCAACGATTTGCCCTCTAATACTCACTCTCTTCTCCTTTTTTTTCTCCGTAACACTTCTTCCTAGTATAATTGGTATCTTAGTAATTCATTTTTCTTCCACATGCGTTGTCAAGATTACTCAATCTGTTTCGACTTGTTTGTTTTATTTTTAAACAATGTATTATTTTTAAAATAGCATACTAAAAATCATAACATTAAAAGATATCTTACTACATTTTATATCTTTTTAAATTAATACAATAAAACTTAATTTTTTTTATATTTTTAAAATTTTGTATCAAATCAAAGATAATTAAATTGAAACGAAGTGAATATTTTAAACTGACTTGAAAAGAAAAAAATAACCGGAGAAACTAGAAGAAACATATCACGTTGGAGCTGATGGAAATCACAAGTGGTATTGTTTCATAACAAAACAAATTCTATGATGCTGACTTCATATTTGTCACAATTATCTCTCACTCTGACTACATTTTCAATTCACATTAATCTATGATTAAAAAAAAAATCTATGAATTCGGTAATTTTTAATTGAGTCTTTTCTAGGTCTGTCGTTAGTGATATTGTATTTTTATTAAACACTTTTGACTTAAATTTTGAAAAAAATATACTACTTGTTCTCAAATGAATTAAATAACGGTTTCAAAAGTCATGCTTTTGGACTAGGTAGCAGAATTTAACAAAGCTACACGTGGACTGTGACCCACAAAGCATGGAGCCCACTGGGACCCATTTGTGCCGACCAAAGACGAAAGACAACTCTACCCTCTAGGAAATAACTTACCACGGTAGAAGCCACCAACCAACTACAGTTAGGTTAAAATAACGCCGAAGGTTAGGAAAAGTGTCTCAGCTAAATAAATGGACACGTGGTAAAATCTGCAGCTGCCAATGACGAATGTTGTAGAATCAAATTTACTCAACTAGACACGTGTAAGCTGCAAATGGGTAGCTGGCGAAACTGGCGGGGTCCAATTTAAAATGGGTCCATTCTCATTTGAAATGTCACTTTTTTATATTTTTATTTGGCAAAATGGTCTTGTACTTGTATGTATTTATATTCTGAATCCTTCTATTTAACTCTTTGT